GTATTTAAAAAATGTATGCTTCGGCGATAAAATACCACGAGTAAGAAGAGATTACATGTATAGAGGTTTGCGAATCTTCTACACAGGCATTCACACTGTGTTTGTACTAGCCAGTTACATGTATATTCAACTTATATGCTGGAAATGCACAGCAGTTTTCCTGAAGTAGTCATGATGTACACTGTACATGTATCTGGGCACAGCTGGCACGTGCATTCGGTCTTCTGATGGAGAATCCAACAGGAACTACATGTAATTGCATTACCTCTCTCGAACGGCAGGCACACATTATGTCATCATTCTTATCTATCTTATAGGTCTGGACCTTAGTGCGAACAGATGGGTACTATACAACTAAGTTACTTACGTAACACTGTATGTACATGATTACATGATTACATGGGTTTTTTACTTTTAGTGCAGGCAGCACAGCATTGTTCCGAAATGTATCTCTTATCACCAGTACTCAGTAGAATCACTGGCAGGTACAGATCGGCATTGCAGCATAATTATGGGTATGCAATGTAGTTGCAGAGAGGAGGGGAAAGACCCCCGCCCTCAAGCCCAAGCCTCAGCCGTGGATATCACCCGGCACGGTTTACCAGTGCCAGTGGCTACACTGTATGTGTACATGTAGATAATTCTACATTGTGAAATACTCAACACTGTGACAGAAACACAATATACAATGTACATGCGTGACCGATCCTTTCAATGTTCTAATCTTTCAAGTGACTTTTCCTTTTCTACCTGGACTCCTCCTTGGTTTCCCTTTTCTCTCTAGCTCTTCTCCTGTACCTTCTTGCTATTATTCACTTTAATATGGGGCTTTGAATAAAACAAGTCAAACAAGTCAAACATACAAACACCCCACCCAACAACATCATGCGCCCAGGCCCAGGCCTGCAGACCAGGGAGAGCTGGCACAGACCGTGATCATGTCTCCAACTTAGCTAGGCATTAAATCTCAACTGGCACCACAACTGCCGCGTATTGCTCCCCGACCGGTCCACCGTAGAGAGTGCTGGAGACACAGAGAAAGGGAGATCACAAAAGCACTCATATCAATCCAAAGCCTAAGTAAGGGGCAAGTCCCAGGAATCAACTCCAGTACAGCTTAATCATCATGATTGCACTTGTGGTTAGATGTGCTCTTTGGCACACCCATTCTCTAATGACATTACGCTACATATCGGGTGAGTGAGTGCTGGCAGTTAGCCCAGGCAAGGAGCTGTGAAAACTCAACCGGTTTGGGTTTGAGTCTTAGCAAGAGGTGCCAAGACCAAATTAGCTCTTCTTCTGTCCGCTTGCATGGATTATTGGATAATAGTTACAACGCGGTATACTAGTGTTACTGAGGCGCTGAGCTGTATGTATCACTAACATAATGGGACTAGACAGGCCTGAGGGCCAGGCATTGAATACATGTAGGTACTACTTGTACATAATCATTAAGTTAATTAAACGTCTTTGCACCACTGAAAGTTGAAACTGAAAACAGCTACAGTCACTGAATGGCGGGCTTACCATGGAAGAACTACATCGTAAGTCCACCGCAAAGTGTGAATCTCGCCCAGCTCAGCAGCTGCTTGCATGCGCCGCGAATGTCGCCGGGGCATTCAGCCAGGTGACTGAGCAGCCGCGGAGCTAGCGAAGGAAACTAGTCAGTGCATGTCCACGAACTATGCCTATCAGTATGAACCTCATCAGCTCATTGTTTATTCATTGCCTGGATAGTGTAGTGCTAGTAGTAGCTAGCGGTAGCGGTAGCGGTAGACCATGGACCATGGTAGACATCACAGCGATATTTCACTTTTCAGCATTCCTACACTAGTGAACACGCGTGCTAGTGGTTTCCCTCTTAGATAATAATCATGGTTGTTTTATTTCGCAAATCCACTTCATTCAACCAACGTTTATATATACCCCTCAGAATTTCCCACCACAGAGGGAGAGGGAGAGGGAGAGGGAGAGGGAAAGGGAAGAGAGAGAGAGAGAGAGAGAGAGAGAGAGAGAGAGAGTAAGTTTCATTTATAAAGACAGGTAAGTCTAACAAATGAGGACTGAGACCTCTACAACAGGGTTTTTACGCCTGAAAGCAGGTGCATGATTTAACAAGCAGGTTGTCAGTCTAGATTTTATGCGCAGATGGAGAAAAATGCGCAGAATTTTTGTAATGAGATGAAAAGCAGAAATAATAAGAAAAGATGAAATGAAAGCCTGCTCACAACCCCGCCCAGCCTTGCGAACTGGGTATGGTGGATTAAGAACCCGGTTCAACGCTCAAGCAAGCGCTCTCCACTCAAGGTATTCACAGCAACTGATAGGAACTCATATGGGGAAACTATAGACAAGACTGTGACTAATAAGATAAAGAGAATAAATTTCAACGCACCTCAATAAACGAGAGAGAGAGAGAGAGAGAGAGAGAGAGAGAGAGAGAGAGAGAGAGAGAGAGAGAGAGAGAGAGAGAGAGAGAGAGAGAGAGAGAGAGAGAGAGAGAGAGAGAGAGAGAGAGAGAGAGAGAGAGAGAGAGAGAGAGAGAGAGAGAGAGAGAGAGAGAGAGAGAGAGAGAGAGAGAGAGAGAGAGAGAGAGAGAGAGAGAGAGAGAGAGAGAGAGAGAGAGAGAGAGAGAGAGAGAGAGAGAGAGAGAGAGAGAGAGAGAGAGGGAGGGAGAGAGAGGGGAGAGAGGGGAGAGAGAGAGAGGGAGAGACAGATAGATAGATAGAGATAGATAGATAGATAGATAGAGAGAGAGAGAGAGAGAGAGAGAGAGAGAGAGAGAGAGAGAGAGAGAGAGAGAGAGAGAGAAAGAGAGAGAGAGCGAGCGAGAGAGCGAGAGAGAGACAAAGAGGCAGAGAGAGAGACACATACACACACACACACACACAGAGAAAAAATATGAAGAGAGAGAGAGAGTGTGTGTGTGTGTGTGTGTGTGTGTGTGTGTGTGTGTGTGTGTGTGTGTGTGTGTGTGTGTGTGTGTGTGTGTGTGTGAGAGAGAGAGAGAGAGAGAGAGAGAGAGAGAGAGTCGTGACTACGTTTCCTGCTTTGACGTGTTTGTTAATATTTACGGTGTCTTCATGACTGTATTGACTGGCCTACACGGTCACTCAGCTGGTGCTGCTGCAGATATGAATTACTCAAGGGGCCATCCGGAAAATAATATAGATATTTATTTAGAAACGAAAACTGGTCGTATAGCCTATAGGGCCGGGGTTGAGCGCCAATACGCGAAAAATATCGATGCACAGTTTGTATGTAGGGTACGTCCAGAAAAATGTCGATATTATGAAGAGTACATAACCCTCTTGATACTATGTACCGTTTGTAGTACATCATATACATGTATGACAGTATGTGTTCGTTTATCAGGGATGGGGGGGGGGGGGGGGTTGAAGATAAATAACTAGTTTTCGTTTCTAAATAAATATCGGTATTCAAGGATGGCCCCCAAGAAGTATGCAGTATGTCAGCTTTTATGGTCTATGACTGTTCGGCGACCTGATGGCGATTCGTTACGTACACATGACGTGTAGCGCGCACTCATTCCGCAGGCCAGAGAGAAAAGTAACACGAATAGTTGGGAGAACGTGCACCGCGGCGTGATGGGCGTCTGCTTTCAGCCGACGTTCCGACGGCCCCGGGTGTCGTGACATCCTCCACAGCAAAGGCGGGACACGACCGAGCAGCTGATACTGTGATACCAGTCCTGTTCATCATGGATACTGTGGCTGCTGCAGCACCCAACGGCAACGTCCCAAGCTCCGAGCTACACATAAGCCCGCTCCAGTATCAGTGAGCTCGAAGCCTCGTTTATACCGGTGCTAACCTGTAATGGCTATGGCCAACACGACGAACTGTACACACACATACATTCCGATAGTTGTAGTGTGGCCGAACGTAGGGAAGCCAGTGATAAGCCTAAATCCACGTCGGCCATGCAGAGATTATCACTGCGACGAAAGATGTAATACGGGTACCGGTGTTCAAACTTCACTTTGACCCGACACTGCGACAGGCCTACGTCATCTTCCACCCTTCAAATCCGTGATGTCCATGTTCAACCTTTTCTTACCTTACCATAACACTAACACTAGTAACAGAGTTGCTCGCTTGTTGGAACATGACAAAAATAGAACATCTCAAACGAGAACGTCGCTATTTCCCAAAACTCGCAAAAGCGATCCGAGTAGAGTATTCCAACTCATGTATTCGGGTCGGGGAGCTCGCCTGACCTTGGCTCGCGTGCGGCCAAAGCCTCAACACAAAAAGTCAAGATGGGTTCAACCTCAAGGTGAGAGTTCAAAGTGTTATGCTTGTGGCGTGCACTGCCGGATGCCACTGCATCTGACTGTCATAGCGCTGTCTGCGCGGCGCTGGTGCAGCGCAAGCTTGCAAGGTCGTCATAATCATCATCGGTGCGATAGGTCACAGGTGCGCGCGCGCTCAGTCGCTGAAGATCTATGTGTGCAATTATTTGCATACATCTTTAGAAGTTTTAGTACGTACATTGGTGATCTACAGGGTCTAGCACTAGTAGCAGTGTATGCAATGCATGGTATCAAAATCAGCGAGTTCACGACTCCCTGAAACAGTGAAAATACATGACTGCAGTAAAACTCACACCACAATTGGCAGTATCGCAAGTATCACAAGCATACTCATACTTCATAGTGTGAGTAGGGAGAGTGAAACAGACTGAAGCTTGCACTGCAAGTACATGATTGTACAATGTAGTTGTAGTTGTAGTGAGCCGGGAAGAAATAGGAGCGAGGCCAACAAAGTTACTTCGATGTACATGATGTGATCGTCTACGGATGGGCACCATCATTGACCGTGATTTAGCTGTGGCCAAACCAGATGAGGATAAAGGATGATGAGATCGGCGAGAATATCGATGGTGAGCATCACAGCCAACACCTGGGCGCGCAGCTGAGCTAGATAGCAATGCAAGACGTAGTAGGTCTACGGAGTGGAGCGCTAGCAGGGAAAGGGACGATGCACGAGCTCGGAGCGGACGCATTGGGAAGCGTGCTGCTACTAGTTGGCCGGTTGCCCTACCGCCGATGGCCGTCGAGATAGGGAGATGGTTGTGATAAGCTAATGTAGAGCTGAGGCAGCACTAGCTATGGCGGCTTCGCGCCGTATCACCTTGCTACTCATACTGCTAGCGCTGCTCTGCAAGTTGAACGTAGATGGAAGAAAAACAGCAGTTCGTCGAACTTCTTCGTTTATTCGTGCGTTGCTGCTGCTGGAAGCGCTCCAACTAACCTTGCGTTGATCTGGAAAGAAAAGAACACAGTAACGGGTAGTTTGACCGCCAAGGGATACCTCTGCTGCTGCAGCGTCTGTTGGTGGATTTGGCAGCCACTGTTGCTGCACGTTATTACTGAATGAGGACGGCACAGAAGAACATCATGTGCCAGCTGATACTGGCAATGGCGCTGATGTTCAGCGCCAATGCCTATGCACAGATGCCGCAAATGCCCAACGGGATGATGAACTTCTTCCCACCAGGCTTCCAGTTCCCAGGGGGGTTCCCTGGCGTTGGACCAATGCCACAGTTTCCAGGACAGCCAGCAGGACAGCCAGCCGGACAGCCAGCCGGACAGCCAGCAGCTCAGCCCCCGCCGCAAAACAAGCAGCCTGTACCAATTGGACCAGGTCCTCAGCGACCAGGGATGGCAAAGCCAGGAGCGGGAGCATCACAGCCCGTGCCGGGAGCGCGCCCTGCTATGCTGCCAGGTGGCCAGGTACCACCGGGGTACAAGGACTGTGCTGGCACACCGTACGACACGGCCAAGCAGGTCTGCTGCGGTGGCTATGTCATGAACGCCGATCCAAAGCAGGTGAAGTGCTGTGGCATGGAGCTGATCGAGACCAACAAATCACGCTGCTGCAATAACCAGCCGTACGACTTCACCACGCAGGTGTGCTGTGCGGATACGGGTGAGCTCTCTTTCCTGCCCGGTGGCGAGAAGCGGTGGGTGTGCTGCGGCACGACCACCATCTCCCTGATCAGCGACACGCAGGCGTGCTGCGGGGTGCGCCGCATCTACGACCCCAGCACGCACTACTGCTGCGAGGGCAAACGCACCAAGCTGGACAGTCTCAAGTACAAGTGCTGCAACACGAAGGGCACGGCGCCGGGTGGCGAGACGCGCTTCCAGTTCTCCACGCACAGCTGCTGTAACTCCGGCACTGAGGTCACCCTCGGCCAGAGCTGCCCGAAGGGTGAGCAGCCGTTCGACCACATTCAGGACATGCACAAGCCACCGCCGACAGCCGGTGAGAAGAGCACAGGTTCAAAGTACTGCGATGGAGCGGCATATAATGCTGAGACGCAGTTCTGCTGCAATGCCAAGGTGGGCGACAAGGAAACTCATGAGTGTTGCGGCGACAAGCACCTCATCTCCAAGGAGACTCAGCGCTGCTGCAACAGCCACGACCCATACAAGTTCCAGTATCAGGTATGCTGCCCGGACAATGGTCAAATCCAGAACATGCCAGGTGGTGAGAATGACTGGGTGTGCTGTGGCACCACCACATTCCTACGCAACAGCAAGACGCAGGCATGCTGTGGAACACGCCGTATCTTTGACCCGTCGACACACTTCTGCTGTGAGGGCAAGCGCACACGCATCCAAAGCATGAAGTACAAATGCTGCAACACGACTGGAACGGAGAAGCGCTACAAGTATGCCGAGGAAGTTTGCTGCCATAGCGACACAACCATATTCAGTGGTTCGACATGTCCACCAGATCCAAATGCGGCCAGGAAGGCTCAAGAGGCAGCAGCAAAGAAGGCAGCTGAAGACAAGCTTCGACAAGAGGAGCAACGCAAGAAGGAGGGAGAGCAAAGAGGGCAGCAGCCCCAGTTTCCTGGTGGCATGCCTGGAGGAATGCCGGGTGGTGGTGGTATGCCGGGTGGAATGAACCAGCTCCAGTTCTTCATGTGGCTTATGCAAATGCAGCAGCAAATGCGACAGGCTCAGCAGCAACAGCAGACTCCAGTACCACAGCAGCCACCAGCACAACAGAAACCACCAGCGCAACAGCAGCCCCAAACACCAGCTGGCGGTTTCCCGGCTCCGGGTGGCATGCCGTTTATGATGCCGGGAGCTGGAATGATGGGACCTGGGATGATGCCAGGGATGATGCCTGGAATGATGCCTGGAATGATGCCTGGTTTCCCTGGGAAGAGGAAGAAGAAATAGACTCAAGCCTGCCGAACAACAGTTTGCAAATCATTAATTTGAGAGAGGGAGATGCATGTGTGGAAGTGAGAATGATAGCATATGCCACAATAGTGTTATTGCATGCACGACGGAGCATTCTGAAGTCCGCATATTGATTATTGGAAAACATGGCACACGCGTTATCAAATTGACCTATCGATACAGAAGTATAATTATTATCAGTTTCAACTTTTTTTTATTCAATAATTTGAAGGAGTTACAAAACTTGTATCTAATTCTGTATCCTAATTCTGGCCATGGCAAGATTTAAACCTATCTATATAATTATGTCTATGATGAAACATGTCTTTTACTTCGAACGTGCATGCGGTTGGTGATCCGGCGGCATCGAGGCACATGCAAAACAGTTCATTGTTTAGCTTTCCAAACCAAAGCACACCTACAGCTTTGTGAACATTTAGATCACCTGGCTCGGGATCGAAGCACCGATGCAGAGTGTTTGTGTGCTCCACTCTCACAACAAGAACACGTCCAGAAGTCTGCTGTGAGCATGGTGGCTCAGTAACAGGGTCCGGCGGATTCTGCCGGCAGAAAAATTGGCAGAATTCGGTACTTTTTCTGGTAAGTTTCATGCATGTTTGGTATGTGGATAAAGAAATGGAGCAGAATTCGAGGAATTGCCTGCCATAAGGTTTGTATGGTTTTGCCAATTTCACTGCTTTTCGAGCAGAATCTGCCAACTTTTCGAGCAGAATCCCCCGGACCCTACATGTAGTACTGAGTAAAGGCAGGAAGAAAGGCAAAGTGACAGGAATGCGGTCAAGGCACTGCATTTTGCTGAACAAAATCAGGAACGGAAACCCCAAAATATTGCATGTAGTCTGAGCACAAACATTTTTATAAGTTACACATGATCTAGTATGGACACAAGCTTTCCAGGTCTCTCCAGCGGGTGGAAAGCCCACATTTCCAGGTCTCTCCAGCGGGTGGAAAGCCCACATTTCCAGGTCTCTCCAGCGGGTGGAAAGCCCACATTTCCAGGTCTCTCCAGCGGGTGGAAAGCCCACATTTCCAGGGAGTACAAATTTTGCTAACACAACACTTGTCGTGGCCAATGACTACCGGTATACTTTGTTCAACTTTTCACAAAGCCAAAGTTCACTGCATGACAAATCCACATGCAATTTATTATGGTAGTGAACTTGTTTTACTTTGAGACTAAAGAGCTGTACGAACTCTTTGCTTACCAACTCATATCGCACGAGCTCACAATAAAAGCATTGGTTCACAAAGGAACCATGCATCGGATGCAAGCAAACAATTACTTCGAAGTAATTTTTGTGTCATGGTATGCAACATGACCTGCATTATACATGTGTGTGAGGTGCAACTGCCCAGCGAGCGGATTGCTTGCACTGTTATACACAGGCTACATGGCCACCACTTCACTAAGAACCTCTACATCAGTCAAAGCAATATTCACGAGACTAAAGAAAGCATGAGTTTTATGCTCAAGTGGATGGTTTTACCTGGCAAGAGGATCATAGGATCATGATGATGATAAATAAAATAACGTTATCAGAGCGAACAAATGTATAACTGGAGGGCAGCTCCTACTTGGTTGGTCTTGTTTCATGAGTTTCGATGTGTAAGCAAAAAATAAAAAGCACAAGAACTCCAAGCAGCTCAGTGAGTAATAAAAAAAGGTAGGCAGTGAAATCAGTGATTCCACTAGCCAATTACCTATCTAGCTGGTCTAACGTCGGTCAGAGAAAATGTTTCTCGGTTGCTGCCAAGGTATCCATCACATGCTAGTCAGCATGCACACGTTCGCACTAACCAAAGTGCAGTGATGTGCAATGCTGGCATGCCGCTGTCCTACGCATACACTCACAGTATAGCTAAAGTGCAATGCTGGCGCATAGCTGTGGCATAGCACACATTCACACCAGCTGACGTGCAATACTGGCGCACGTCACTGTGGCATAGCACACACTCTAACTATCTGATGTAAAAAAGCTAGCGCGCCGCTGTAGCACAGCACTACGAACCCAGCCAGAGGCAATCCCACAGCAACGGGGCAGATCAGATCAATGACAATAACACAGCAACGAGGCAGATCAGATCAATGACAATCCCAAAACAGTGGGGCAGATCAGATCATAGGCCGATGCGGTGCGGAGTACGGCGAGGTGTCTGACTGTGACCTGGTGTGTCGATGCGTACCCTGCAAAGCACACAAGCATGCAACAATGTCAAAGTCATTTCCCACTGTCTTGTCGCAAGTCAAAGTCTGTCAGAATTAGCAGTGAGACTACATAGCACACTGTACTGACCCTCTCCTCACGATCCTGACAAACTGAAATGAAGCTGAGCTCTACATACTACTCAGAGTACAATCAGTACAAGTACAAGTACATACATGGGGATGGGCACATGCAACAGTTGCGCAGTGCACATGACACCGCTAAGTATATTACTGTCACACGCCTTCTTTTAGGTAAGCAATATGATTGTACCAAAATTTCGGTGTCACAGGCATGAGTGGCTACACAGTGCATACTCCAATGCCTTTTAGGTTTTAGCAATAGTTAGGTGCCTGGTTTCACTACCGGGATAACTGAAAGTGAAGGGCTACACAATAATTGGACATAGATGTCTGGCACATCTGTAATACCTGTACTGAAGGTCGAATATTACTGGCCAGCACTATACAACGATCAAGCTACAGTCTGCAGCACTTAGGACATCTCAGCGCAGTACCAACTGCCAAAACAAGACCATGGCTTACGATGGTCCGACGGACGGGGGTGCATCTTCCTCCTCCTTGCGTGCCTGCAACCGTTCAGAAGCATCCTTCATCTCCTGCTCCATTGAGCGGACAGTGTCCTTGGCTTCTTTCTTCTTATCCTGTACCCAACAATTGGTCAACCCACCGAGAGTATTCAAGAGCAAGCATTGCAACTTCATGAAGACAATGACGCACACCAGTCGATGAGGATTCTGGTGGGGTGAAGGCTTACCCATGGCCGCACCGGAAATTCACCATCTTCATTGACAGTGAGCACCTTCCTGAGCCGTGCCATTCACACAGAGCAACTATGCCTTACGCTGTGTTTACATGAGAAATTTCAACCTGGGTCGAGTTCAGCCCGGGTTGAAAGTCTGTACGATAGACAAAATAGGGGAGCGTTTACATGAAGACAGTTGACCCGGGTCAAATACTGATATGCCGCCAAAAGTCCACTTCTAGAGTCCTATATGGTCACGTGAATCCTTTCGCGCGAAATTTGCATGTGCAGTGCTGTTCAAACCTGGCGCGAGATACGCACAGAAGTACGTTAGTGTGCATGTCCTCGTGGACGTTGAGATGACGCCGGCGAGAGAACGTCTTCTGGCAGATCTTGCAACCCGGGTCAAGCGTAATGATGCGTCATGTAAACGTGCCAGTCAAACTGTGTTCATGGCGGGTTGAGACTTGACCCGGGTCGAAACGCCTCATGTAAACACAGCCTTAGCAGTTAGCACTTTACTATGCCTTGGCACTCGTCTCCAGTATCACTATCGGGAAGTTGGTAAACTTCCCTAGCACCATACCAACATGACTCACGCTCTACTGCTACACATAGTTAGCAATCATTTCGAAACCACGTGAGAGAAAGAAGGGGTGAACAGGTGGGAGGATCTTACAGCACGCGATCGATTAGACTCCTTGATGCTGAAGAACATTGGACCGAGCTCAGCCAGCCATTCGCCATCCACCGCGGTGACACACTGCATGTATTCCTGGACATGAGCAAGAGAGAGAGAGAGAGAGAGAGAGAGAGAGAGAGAGAGAGAGAGAGAGAGAGAGAGAGAGAGAGAGAGAGAGAGAGAGAGAGATAGAAGGGGGGGGGGGCTGCTAAGAGACAACTAATGATGACAATCTACTCAGAAATAGTGATATTTTCTGCATTGCCGACCATGTAAGAGCATATCGGAAGTATCATTCGGACACCGTTTCGTAAGGGCCTGGGTGCTAAAGGGGTCAAAGTTACTTACTTTTGAGGTCATGATCAACTCGTGATAGACAATGTAGTCCGGTGTGAAGCCCATACCATACAATGCACTGGTCGGGTGCAAGTGACATGGCATTCCTGTCCGGCAGTTGACATATTCACCGATGCCCTACACATCACACAAGCACAGCAGCGAGCAATGAAGTGAGAAGCCCGTACTGTAGTGTAATCAAGTACAGAACATGGCACTGTACGTGTACCGGTGAATAGAAAATCATCACATCACAAATTCAACAGAAGAACAGTCTCACTAGGACAGAGACTAACCTTCAGCCTTGCAGCCTGGAAGAAGTACGCCGAGCTAATGCACTTGCGCACAATGTCCCACTGTGTGTTGCACGAGATCAGCTCCAGTTTCTGTTTGTCCATGATGTCGTGAAGTTGCTGGCGCACCTCGCGCACCTGCAGCACATCACAATGGCACCAACAACGACAACATGAGTCTGAACCAAGCCATTGCTTGTCTCATGCTGGCGGGCACTGCATGTCCAATACCAATGGCATTATGTATACACCTCAACGTGGGCAATGAGCGGCGGGCAGTGAAATCTGGACCAGCCGTTGTCATAGTGCAAGCGTTCACAGTACAGTGTACGTTGTACATGCAAATAACGCAATGGACTGTATAGGTGTGCTTAGCAACCTACCTTGCGCATCGCCTTGGCGTGTATGAAGTGATCGTTGCAGTAGCGTGCACTGTACCTGTGACAGCAGCAGCAACAGCAGCAACAGTAGCAGCAACAGCAACAACAGCAATAGCAGCAGCAACAGCAGCAGCAACAGCAGCAGCAACAGCAGCAACAACAGCAACAGCAGCATCAAGCACAGCCAACACAGTTTTTAACTACGTACATGATCGTATAAGTACACAGCTCACAACTATCCCAATGTGCATTGAATACACAACAAAAGCTTTTTTTCATATCGCAACTCTTGGTCTAGCCGTTGAGTGTGTGACAGTGCAGACGCATAAAAGCATTACACTACCAATTACAGTGGTGCATGTACATTAGGTATGTTGCAAGACGGAAAAGAGAGAAACGGAGTGTCAGCGATTCAGCAACCAAGCACACACACACAATACATGAACAGAACAATATGGACAAGCTTACGTATTTGACTTCCACTGTTGGTAGACGTGCAGCAAGGTGAGATGGTCACTCTCCGGAACTTGGAACTTCTCTCTCGCTGCATCACTTTCCTCTTCGCGTCCCTTCGGACGGTAGAAGATTGCTGGCACGGACAGCATCGACACAATGATCTACCAAAAACACATGCACAGAACACATGCAAACCAAGTAAGGGAGATGCACAAACAAGAGAATAGAGGAAGCCATGCAACTGTGTGCAATAAAGACAAATTTCGCGGCTCGCACGAGAGTCTGTCAGACTGACTTTCCGCATCCGCAGGAACGCCACCACCCACAGGCATCAAAGCACTGGCGCAGCTCTTACTTGCAACGTGGTGGGTGGTGAGTAGATCAGATACACCGCAAAATGGTATAGAATGTCAAAACAATATACCTCCGGCAAAATCTGCTGCGGCATATGCAGAAGGCTGCACGGCACTTGCTTCAAAACCCCTCAACATGTAAGGCAGAGAACCAAAAAACAAAGAGGAGAAAGGAGAGAAAGCGAGGATAGACAGGCATCACTACATGCGCCTTACCAGGATTTCCTCACTACAGCCCATATCCGTGGCGAAGATCAACATTTTGCTAAGAGCTGGGTCCAGCGGGAACTCCACCATCTGGCGGCCGAGCGGAGTCAAGTCACCAGTATTGTCCAATGCACCAAGGATCCACAACTGGTACATACTGTTCAAGATGTTGTCCTGTATGGCCACAAAACAGAGAAGACAAAGCAGGTACATGTACATGCACATCTGTATTGTATTCGGGACAGGGCTTAAAGGCAGTGAACGATACGCCATCCGCTCCAGGTGGTTAGGCTGTAACACTTGTAAAAACCCACCAACCGTGCTTTGATAGCAATGAAAAAGAGTGCAAAGTTGTTGAATGACAGTATATTGTACATGTATAGTAATGGCATAGGCTGGACCCTCTTCACCGGTCTTCAGCTGACAGGAGCAGCTCTACCACAAATACTATAATAGTATGCCAGATGGTAATCATGAACTGACACAAGTTTTCGGCAAGAGAGCGGTCACGTGTGTACATGCAGTGACTGCAGTTGGGCTAGAGGTACTTCAGTGTAGCTTGAGCTATGCTTGGAAGTAGCTAGCGTCGCCCTGCCTACCTGTGGAGGTGGGTCCATGAAGTGGAACTGCAGCAGGTCATGCACATGCAGACTCTTCAGAAGCAGCACAACGTTGGCCAGGTTGGTTCGCTGGATCTCCGGCACAGTCATGGCCAGCAGGTCGCGCTTGTAGCAGTTCTCCGAATAGAGGCGATAGCATTGACTGCGAAACGACAAACAAGAAACACAGTATCCACAGGATTGGTCTAGAGTAACTTTAGACCGACCCACTTTCAATCAACAGTATTCTGAGGCCCGCTTTTTGTGTGTGATAATAAACTAGTACTATCTACATGAAAGTAAAGGAAACAAGAGTTTGTGTCTCTAGCCCTATAATTTACTTACCTCGAAGTACTACCTACAAGTTTTTGTAATTGACTGTAACCTGGCACATGTATTGTTACATGACACACGATGCCTATGGGCACACAATGGAAACACTATGGGCACATGGCCACTTCTCTTACCCTGCTCCGGTACGTCCCGCACGGCCTGATCGCTGATTGGCGTTGGCCTGGCAACAAGAACCGGCAAAGATTCAAATACACACACACACACACGCATGTGCACATAGACGTTATGCCATGACAATGACCTGCAAATCTAGACTTTGTTGTATGGTGTGTGTGTGTGTGTGTGTGTGTGTGTGTGTGTGTGTGTGTGTGTGTGTGTGTGTGTGTGTGTGTGTGTGTTGTGCGTGTGTGAGTGCGTGCGTGCGTGTGTGTATATATGCTCATCCAGCTGTACAGGGCTCTGAACTGTTACATCACATGTCATGGACGAATTGCAAAACAATATACACATGTTCAGTACATATAGTCGCTCAACATCCAGAATTCGATAGAATTTCACGTCACTAACCAACGAAAATCCGGAGATTGCTAAGTTTCAGTGACGTCAAAATAAGTGGCCTTTAATTAATACAGTAAGTCAGTATACACTATGGGAGAGAAATGTCAGTGCACTGATTCTTGATGATAAAATCAGATTGATCAATAGCAGCAGCAGCAGCAGCAGCAGCCTCCTTACCTGGCTAATTGGGTAAACCTGCAGAGCGTCCATACCAATGCGGGGATTATAGACTTTCAGCTTGCAATAGCCGGAATCCACGACGAACATGATACCATCAACTGGACAGACACAGCAGCACTAACCATGTGTCAGGAATCTCATCTCCAAGGCAACCTACCCGTAATTTCCCCCTGGATTAAGACGCATCCAATTGTAAGTTGCACGCCCATCTTCAGGTCTCTGACGTGTACATTCAACGTGTGCACTTGAGTGATAAAGCACAATCGATTGTAAGTCGCATCCCCTTCTTTATACTAACCATGGGGTTCATTGTAAAAAGTATGTGCAACCAACATTCGGGGAAATCCAGCAAGCCTAAAACGGTTTGTATTTATTATATTAACAAAGTGCTCATGAAGTTGCCTGATAAGTGCTTTTTCGGATAAAAAACTTGGGAGTAGGAATAAAGTTCCAGTGGAACGTGTTGTTCTCCTTTGAATGCTAGTCTAGGATTGTATGTGAACAAAGGGCTCAATGACCTTCCTGATAGTAAAGTGTGCAAGAACCAGAGCAGAGCGATACAGTCACGGCCAGCTGCAATACAATCGACACACGGCCGAGGCTAAACAAGCCTCGTCACCGTTGATACCAAATCACAATGGAGCTCACCTGTGAGTGAGGTTTCAGCAATGTTGGTTGCCACCACACACTTGCGCACGCCATCCGGTGCTTTCTGGAAGATCTTAGCCTGCAGATCGCTGGGCAACTGAGAGTAGATTGGCAGAATAGCAAGTGGAGGTGATTCTTCCAGGCTCTCCAGACGGTCTGAGAACAAGACAAGAACAGAGTGAAATACAAAAAGCACACACATGTACTTTCAGTACACGACACTGCATGGTCAGTTGCTCAATACAAGGAAAGACAGTTGTTGTGGACTGCGTTTATAAGGACTTGCAGTCACTTCCACTTCAAACAACTTCAAACTACAGTGTTTGGATGTCAAAGAGATTGCAAGGCAAATAGGAATTTACTGCAGAGAATAGTAGCAATGGCATTAAGGATAGTGCTCCCCTGAGTCCACCACACGATACATGAAAACAGGTGTGCTCGTCTGAGCGCACATACCAGCAATTGTCTCGCAAGTTACTTCAATCTCTTCTTGGCCAGGCATAAAGATCAGAATATCACCTACGGACAACATGCAAACAAACATCACAAATACATTGTAATTAAACACTTGCATGACAGAAGAACAGATATACACTGTAGGAGCACAGCATCAACCCTGCACACACTTCGCAATGTAGTCACGTCTGATTGAGCTTGGAGAAGTTGCATGACCCAGGCACAGTTCAACGTCCCCCCCTCATGTACATATCCATCTAACCCTCATGTGCCTACCCACCAGCACTCCCTGTGTACCTACCCATCAGCACTCCCTGTGTAACTACCCACCCATCATGTACCTATCGTGACCCGAGGTCGACGACGCGCAGCAATTGTGACCAGCTTGGCAGGCGAGTAATCGGCACCAGCTGACAAGCGTTCGGCAAACTGATGAGTCGCGCCAGCACCACTGCAGTACGGTAACTCACTACATCATTATGACTTCATATAAGTACATAGCCTTGCTCACTTACAACATTATATAACTGCTATGAAACTGCAGCAATCTGGCGCCCTATTCTCCAACTGTAATGCAATCTACTAGTATCTTCTACCGTTCTTACATTCTCTTATCCCGCCGTTATGAGGTGCTCAATTATGAAACTAGCGCTTTACCGTTACTTCTCCCCTTGTCCCGCCGTCTAATATGACTAGTGAGTACAGTATGTGTGCTCTGATTGGCTGTTGTTATCAATATAAGTCCCTGCTTTGTTACATTCGTTCTCTCGCTCCGGCACTGCTTCCTGGCTGTTATCTCCTCTATCTTATACTACTTCTGACCTATCTACAAGGTAGGTCCTTGGAAATGGAACTCTTGGTGGGCTGTTGAGTGATGGCGTGCATATATTGTGCACTTGGGATTCTGGGTCTTGCTCACACTTCGTGGCGGCCCTACTTAGTGTTGTTCGCAACGCAGGCTTTTGACTGACCCTTGGCCTTGGGGTCGGGTCATGACATTTGGTGCTGTGACCAGGATCCGTCACTCAATGTGGACTAATCCTCGGTTCTTTTCTGGCGTGACGTTTTGTCTTATCCAGAATGGCACAGGAAATGATCGAGGAGATCAACTCCCTCACCCAGGAAGCAGGCCAGGGGCGAGAGACCCCAACGATGCAGTGCCTCGAGAGGGCTATTGTATTGTTCGAAGGCGTTGGGCGGCCAGATCAAGGACGGCATGTCCGAAAACTGAAATTGGACTTGGATTTTCTGGCACTCATATCCTTCCGGATATTGGGCTGGCATGCCGGCCATCGCACAGAGGAGGAGAAGGAGGAACCACCGAGAAAGAAAACTCGTAAAAACTCACGTTAACCCAAGAAGGATAAGACCCCGAAACCGAAGGACACAGAAGAGATGCCGGTAGACTTGCCGACTACCCCGGACAAGTAACTAAGTAGGCGGAATCTTTATTGAACACAATTGATAATAATTATTGTTGATTCAATAAAAGTGGCTTATATCTAAACTAGGGCTGAGTCGGGTAGCATTTTCTTCGGGTATCTGGTTGTTTTCCACGGGTAGTGTAGCAAGAAGGACCCATGAGTGTGTGTGATTCCCGGTAGCCTAATCGGTAGGGCACTGTCCCGGAAAGACAGGGGTGCTGGGTTCGAATCCCGCTCGTGGATCCTTCTTTTGCAACATTGGCGCCTGGCAATGGCTCGAACCCACGACTCATCGGACCCCCCGCGAGTAGGTACGGCGTGAGGACACAGCCTATTGGAGCGGGGGAGCAGTGTAGCAAGAAGGACCCATGAGTGTGTGTGATCCCCGGTAGCCTAATCGGTAGGGCACTGTCCCGGAAAGACAGGGGTGCTGGGTTCGAATCCCGCTCGTGGATCCTTCTTTTGCAACAGTAGCACGGGTACTCGATCGGGTAATGTTTCCATGGTAACACCACAATGCACCCCTTCCCTTACATACTGGGTAGACATGCGGAATATTACATGAATTTGTACACATGCACTGCACATGATGTCATCTGCGACTTCGGGTTTTCGGGTACTATTCTGCACCCGTCTACCCGTGGTCCTCGCGGGTACCCGACTACCCGTGCACACCACTAATCTAAACCTGTTTGCGCTCTGATCGCGTGTATGGTGAGGAATGGAGGCTAGGACCAAAACTGTGAGGTAGTCTCATTTCTTGAGATTGTTTGGTCAAGAACCTGGCGGCATGTATAAGCCTATGATACGTGGAACGAGGAACCTGGGCATATATCTAGAACCAACGGGTCATGACATACCTATCCACCACCCCCTCATGTACCTATCCACCCAACCCCTCATGAACCTATCCGCCCACCCCTCATGTACCGTAATGTCGCGTGCATTAGCCGGGGCTTATATGCCTATAAGCCGGTGATGGAGTCAGGCTTGTACACAAGACAGGCTTATACACGAGACAGGCTTATATGACAAGCACCACTCAATGACCAGGCTTGTATGCGCAAACTGCTGACTTGCTGGTGTTGATTTCCGCATCTTCCCACGTTTTCCGCGTGTGCAAGTGTACGGTACCATGCAAACATGAACATGTAAAAGGCGCGCTCACCAGTCTTGCGTAGTAGCCCGGCTTACGCACGCGACACGTGGCGCGTCTCGTGTACTGGCCCGGCTTATGCATGCGACAGGCCTGTACGCGAAAAGCTGTTGCAGATTTCATGCTTCTACACGAGACAGGCTTATGCACAAATCCGGCTTATGCACGCGACATTACGGTACCTATCCACCCACCCCCTCATGTACCTATCCACCCACCCCTCACGTACCTATCTACCCACCCATCATGTACCTATCCACCCACCCCCTCATGTACCTATCCACCCACCCCTCATGTACCTATCCACCCACCCCTCATGTACCTATCCACCACCCCCTCATGTATCTATCCATCTACCCCTCATGTACCTATCCACCCACTCCCTCATGTACCTATCCACCCACCCTGCATGTACCTATCCACCCACCCTGCGTGTACCTATCCACCCACCCTGCGTGTACCTATCCACCCACCCTGCATGTACCTATCGACCCACCCCCTCATGTACCTACCCATCCACCCTTCATGTACCTACTTCAGTACATGTACCTATCAGCCCCCTCATGTACCTATCCACTTGCCCATGCAGTGCATCAACCCAGCTATCATCATGCACACCTACCTCTCCACACGTGTACGCGTGCACCTGCATACGTGATACGTATCCTTCTCTGTAACCATTAGTCCGTCCGCCATATGCACGCACGCATGTACGTATCTTCCATTGACGTGTGTATCCATCTGCCACTTGTGTACCTATTCATCCACCCATCTATACAGCCAGCGTTGCAACTGGTCACCCATGCACTCACCTTTGCTGGGAGTCAAGTGTAGCTGCATGGCTTGTCTGACTGCACTCTCAATGTAGTCTTCCACGGATGTCTTTGTATACATGATGTCCACTGGAAATGTTCGACCAGGGATCTACCACACACAAAGGCAACAACAACAATACAACGAAACACCACCAATACCATTATCAGCACTAGCACCACTCAGAAAATAATGCCCACTGAAAGTGCATGCTCAACACGCATGCCCACGCAAGCATGCACACGCAAGCATGCACACGCAAGCATGCCCACGCAAGCATGCACCCGCAAGCATGCACACGAGCGGCACATCCATAGCATGCTCACAGGGTCCAGTGTGCAATTGCTATGGACAGCAACCATCATGTGTACTGCTCCTTACCCAGACACACACGTTACTCTCATGTTAGAGTCATACTGTTAGGGTACCCCGTAAGAAGACCTTGAGTCTGTGGGGACTGCCCTATTAAAATATGAATAAATAATAATAATAATAATAATAATACTAGGGCTTGAATTATGAAAATGCTACATTACAGCCAGGCCAGAGTCCTGGCAACGCCGTCCTCTGGATCTACTTCAATCCAGTTATTTATACCGATCCGTACACGTTAGGGTGGTTTTCCTTGGCACATCTACCAGGAGTGACTGGACAGTGCCCTCCCGGTCAGGGACCTACTCCTGGTACAGAAAGATTCAGACCTGCATGCGACGTGAGGGGCCTACTGTACACACCGCATACTGGTACCGTACTTCGCAAGGGGCAGAGTGGACCCAGAACGGTCCTTATTCGTCGTTATTGGTTGACTTCTGAAGTCATCACTTTCTAGCTTTATCTGTATGGAGTAAGTGCTAAGCATACTCAGCATCCCGGAGATAGAGCCATACAGCAGAGAATACAATACCGGTAGCACCTATTTGCCCACCCCCACGTTGTGTTGCTTCTAGGCCTAGCTGCTTCCCAGCTGCTTTTAGGGCAGGGAGTGGGAATTAGAGCAAGCTTGTCAAGTGAAGTACGATGCACAACGGTGCGAAAGGTCAGACATGCGGTGCTGGATTGTGCAGAGTTAGATCCACAGGAATGCCTGCACTTCCCATATACTACAGTGCCGCTCAATGAAATCCAGCCGCATCACTCAAGTTTGCGCCTTGCACCATTTCGCAGCCCAGTGTACGCAGGTCTACTAGGGCTGCGCAACGCCCGGCGCTTACTTGAGTGACGCGGCTGGATTTCATTGAGCAGTGCTGTAGTAGTGTGGACTGCAATGCATGCATCAGCTCAACGCTGCCCCCTTGACATATAGCATACTATACTATACACTGAAGTCATTTCCCACTGGTACGTAGACAGCCGACAGGGAGAGCAGAGGGAGCAGATCAACAGTACTTTACGGTACAAGTATTACATGCAATGCAGCCTGTGTGCAGGATGAACACAATCAGTACATGAACATGCAAGGACAAGTAGAGGGAGAAGTGGTTCTAATTCCTAAACGACAAACACTCTGCTACTGCCCTACTTGCCAAAGGAAAATTCTCCTCGTGCAGTATATGTGACTATAAGGGGGGGGGGGGGGGGGGTGAATTCTAACCTTGAAGATTGGCACGTTTCCAAAGAATGTCGAAAACTTGCCAGCATCCATAGTGGCCGAGGTGACGATCAGTTTCAAATCGTTACGCCGCGCGATCACCTCTCTCAACAGACCGAACAGCACATCAGTGTTGAGTGAGCGCTCGTGAGCTTCGTCCATGATGACCACAGAGTACATGTCGATATCAGCATCTCGAAGAGACTCACGCAGCAGAATACCGTCCGTCATGTACTTGATCTTGGTCTTCTTTGTTGTGACGTCTTCAAACCGGATAGAGTAGCCGACTTGGTCCCCGAGTGGCACGCCTTGCTCGTCGGATACACGCTTAGCTACAGACATAGCGGCCACACGACGCGGTTGTGTGCACCCGATCATGCCTCGATCACCGTACCCCTCTTCTAGCATGTACTGTACGCAGCATAATCACAGGACGCATAGACACCCCACGTGAGCACACACACACACGCACACGCGCACACACACACACACACACACACACACACACACACACACACACACACACACCAAATGACACGGATGGTCTAAAAACCAGTCAAAGAGGGAGACATAGAGAGAATGCATACGTACAGACAGGTGTGCAGAGCAAGGGATACATGCACGAGCTGCTGGGCAGTACCACTGTCTGGCATGATTCCCTCATGCATGTAACTAATTACTTATAGACCGTGTGTACAATGTCACAGTGAGGTCATACACATACATTTTCTGGATGAAATGGGTGCTTTCAAAGAGAACTGTAGTGCTGGTGCTTTCGAAGATATAAAAACAGCCCTGCACCCACTTCGTCCAGCAGATTTGTACGCACTTTGTACACACTTTGTCATTGTGCCCCCGGTCTAAAGAGCACCCTGGCCATAAAGTAGAGATTCCCATGGCCCTTGGCAGCTTGCTACCGATATACTGAACGTGCTACTGTGTCAAAGTATGGATATCAGACTATCAGTACCACAATGGCCTACCTGTGTTAGCTGAGTGGTCTTGCCAGAGCCTGTCTCGCCCACAATGACAACAATGCTGTTGTCGCGGATGATGCTCAGCAGCTCACTGCGAACAGCAAAGATGGGCAGGAACTCGCGCTGCTCCCGGATTGATTTCTTCTTGGCAAACTCACTGGAGGCACCCTGCCTGCCTTTCATGTGATCTGCAAACTGAGAATCGGACTTGTAGTTGACTTCCTTGGCCCCTAGAGACTTGGAGTCCTGTACACAACGCAAAGAAGACAGGAATCACAAGAGAGTGATCACGCCAGGTGCCAGGAATGGTACAACAGCCGAGTGATCACAGAGAAAGAGAGGTCTTGTATCAGCAACAGCACCAGCATCAGCAGTTGCCAAGAATGATACAACAGCAGATTGATCAGAGAGAAAGAGAGGTCTTGTATCAGCAACAGCACCAGCATCAGCAGTTGCCAAGAATGATACAACAGCAGATTGATCAGAGAGAAAGAGAGCGTCTTATATCGACAACAGCATTAGCATCAGCAGTAGTCAACACGTGAAGTGCAGGAAACAACACAGATGACACGGACAGCTCACATCATCCTCCTTGTCTTTGACGCCAAGCAGACCGCCTAGTTTAGTGCCCGCCAACTCCCAGTGCTTCTGCTGGGCTTTGACGCGCTCCTTCATCTCGCGACGTCGTCGAAGTAACTGACTGCCTTTGCGTGCCATCACAGCAATGTCCGCTGATAGGTCCTAAACATTCAAGGCCAGCACAGAGGAGAGACATACTAACTATCACTTGTGTTGTAATTGGAGCCATAGCTCGAAAGCAGATTAAACCGTCTCCTGCTACACATTAGTCCAACTTTTAGTGAAACTTCTGTGTAGTGTAACTCCAAGAACCATAACACTTCACAGCCAAGGTACTGTGTATCCATGGTCAAATGACTGATATAACATATATATGTAGGGCCCTCTGAAACAGTACACAATGTCCCGTACTATGTGATACCCAGAGTGCAAGTGTCGCTGTACAAGCCATCTGGCAAAGCACACCCTGGTACTGTTCCATACAACTACAGCCGTGGCAAGCCATAAAATTAATATGACCTATAAGTATGACCTCATGAATATCAATATCTCTACAGTCTGTTTCAAAAAGATTAGCAATCAAGTTTAGGTCTTAAAAAGTATGAAGATAAGGGAAATCTGGACAACAAAGTACATAAAACGGCTTGTTAGGGCACGGCAAATTGTTCTGTGAAGGTTTCGGAACAATTGGACCAACCGTTAAGGAGTTAGTATTTCGGCCAGGTTTCTGGCCTTTTCCCATGGTTTATAATTTGCCCTGGAAGCCAGTATCGATTTGTTATCAAAACCCACGATTTATCCCTTCCTTTTTGGCCTAGTGGTTATGAATGCTGTCTGCTGACCATGAAGTTGTGAGTTCAAATCCCAACAAATCTTCAAGTCAAACATTTTTTCTTCATTTTTTTCATTGTTTTGGTACAAGACAAAGAAGGTGGCTGCGCCAAGCGACTTGTTGTTGGAGCTCGCGTTTCCTGCCGAACTGACTGACACTTGAATGACTGGCTCACGCCATGTGAAGTTGTGAACACACACAACACTGAAACCGTGTGAGTGAACACGGAAGTCATTGCGCTGTAGCTACGTGTTGTTGAATAAACCGGCACATCGCGATCGATCGATTTCTGTTTGAGAATTATTTTAGTATTTGAAGATCGCCAATTTATTTGAATTTAGGAGTCAACGCCGTCTTCTATCAGCTTTCACAGGCGTCTGCTTTCTCAAAATGTCGTCGAAGTCACACGGATAACTTTGCCACTTCAAGGCCTTGGGAATGAGTCTGTGTCGATGCCGTTTTCGTCACATCGTGAGAGTAAATTGCATCCGCGGCAGCTCAAAGAATCTATTTGGTCACAAAACAGACGCATCCCGCTCGTCAAAATTTACCACACTTTCGACATGTCCTCTCTGACTCCACATCGATGCGAGGAAGATCGTCAGTGAGTTGTCATTTTTCATGCTTTCGCGCGGAATATTTCTTCGAGTTCACAGTGAGTTTTCCAGGCAGCGCTCGAGCGCTCATACGGTAAGACGGCAAACTCCCCGGGCGATCACCAGGATTGCTAATCTTTTTGAAACTGACTATAGGTCTGGCAAAGACGTATAGACTGCGCATAGCACGCCTGCTCCCTGTCACCGTGGAAACAACTGCACGTGGCCACAACGACATCCCAAATCAAGTTGGTATGATGTCTGTAAAGTGGCCATCTCTACACACCGGATATACCGGTAGATGCCTGGTCCCTGTGCTGTACACAACTCAGGGGCTCCACTGGTGAGTATACTACAGTTGCGCTCGGTGAAATCCGACCCAGAGTGAACACTTGGCGCCCTCATTTTGCACGGCGCTTGGCGCCCTGGAAGTGGCACGAATGCGGCTGGACGTACACATGTTCAAATACAATGATGTAATCAAAACTGGTACAGGGCGCCAGTTTTGCACTTTGGGTCAGATTCCACCGAGCACAACTGTAGTACGAAGTAGTACTGTATACTGTAAGCAGAAATATTCGTCTGGAATTTAATTTCGTCTTTTTCATCCAAGGAGCTTTTGGACTAAATTAAATGCCGGACTAATGTCGATTTGTCCAGCTTTTCAATACACTCTTATGATCCAATGGCGAAATTTACAACCGGACGAACTTCCGTTCTTTGGAGTTGGACGAAATTATTGACCGACGAAATGTTCTGCCTGTACAGTATACAATACTGCAGCTGAGGCATAGGGTTGTTGATGTTGACTTAGATTTAGATTGTGGAGTTGTATACACAGGCAAAGCTGCATTCTAATTCTGACATGAAGGGTTGCAGAAATGTACGTAATAAAATGTAAAGGGATGACTTGCCTTGATTGGAACAACGGGCTCGGGTTGCTTGGTAAACACGATGCGGCCGTCCAGGAACGGCGGCACTATGTTGTGAACCAGAAGGTGCACACGAGCTGCCTGCTCGTCTTCAAAGTCTTCATCCACGTTGGTGCGCATCACAACACCGCTGGTCAACATGCGGTTTTCCTCCCACTTCTCCAAGTCCTGTGTAAAATGAACACGAGCAAACCAGTCAAGGCACACATGGTGATCAATACACAGGAGTGCCATGTATAAAGGTGCACATGGTTTAATACACAGGAGTGCCATGTATAAAGGCACACATGGTTTAATACACAGGAGTGCCATGTATAAAGGCGAACATGGCTTTGATACACAGGAGTGCCATGTATAAAGGCGAACATGGCTTTGATACACAGGAGTACCACACAAGGCAGAACAACAGAGACCCAAAACTTGCTCGTGACTCAGAGTTTCGTGTTCAAAAACACTCATCAGACGAACAGGAGTACCATGTATAAAGACGCACATGGTTTGAAACACAGCAGTACCATGTACAGGGTCTAATAAAAAGGCAGTTGTAATGGGACAAGACACGTCATTAGACGCCTGGCCACATGACTCGGGCCTGGCAGCCCAGCACCATCCTGTTGCACCATGCACGCTCAATCAACCTCTGCCACAGTGGTGCAGTGTTCACTGTTCAGTGATATCACCAGACCCTCATGGTACCACAGCCGGTTCCAAGCAGAAATAATTGAACTACTGTTCAAGTATTGCTCCTGGGAATACTCCCCACTTCCACTGGACATCTTCCACAGGTAAGACGAAAGCACACCCATGAACTGAGCTAGACAGAAAGACAGGGAGTGGAGGTGCACGTGGCAAAAAAAGAAAAGAAAAGAAAAGAGAACAGACTAACCCGATTAATCTGGCGGCGCTGAGCAGATATTCTCTTCTTCATCTGCTGGGCCAGCTGCTCCTCCTTGCGTTTGGTGTACTCCTCGGATTCGCCTGCAAACGGATTGTTTGTGTCATCGTACCCACTGTCCATGTTGTACCAGAGACGGTCAAGTTTCTATGTGCACACACAGAGAAATGCAAACCCGGCGTAGAATGAATACCCAAGGCCTCTAACAAACCCCTTGAAACCTCCTGCATTCTCACAAGTAAAAAAACTGAACATTTCGACAATCCAGGAAAGATTGACACAGAACACAGAATCCCATTTGCAACGTTCCCTCGAAATAATGAAGATAGAACACAAGCTAAATCATCATATGTATTCCACTGGCTCCCAGCGAGGATCGTAGCCCAGAACAGGAGAGGAAATATATAACAATGTTCGTCTCCCAGTTTATTTCAATAAAATGAATTGAAATGGGTATGTCATATGCTAAACTAGGTGTCAAAAATGATTGACGCTGCTGCTAAAAGTGGCACACCTACACTTGACACCAGGCAAGTCGCTGTCAGAATTCATTTGGTGTGGACAAACTACAACTAAACTCGCCCGTTGCACGTTAGTAAAATTCACTACACTGTAGTAATACACTGATTGGTGTGGAAATCTACCTTGCTCACTGTTAGTGGAAAACACTTGAAGCTATTGGGAGTGTGAGCAGTCAATACACCATGACTGGGAATAACCTGTACACAATGTAGAGCCATGATCTGTGCCAATATAGTGTGAAACTAGTATCTACCCTCCACTCTAGCACACACATGATGACATGCACTGTGAAGTGTGAACTACACGATCTACCTACCTTCTGCTCTGCCTCCCAAAGCTCCTTATCAGCCGAGTCACTCACAACATGACGTTCAGCTGTGTACAGAGAAACAGAGTGAGAAGCATTACAAAGTAGTAGAACTCCACACCCCCTTCGCTTGCACACGTGCATGCACACAGAGCACACAGGACATATCAATATGACTTGAGCATTACAACTGGTATTGGAGGTCAGGTTGATATCCTCCCCCCAGACCAGAGACAACGCAAAACCCACTATCTACCTACCCCCCCCCCCCCCCCAAAAAAACACGCATAGACATAGACACAGACACATATACGTGCAGACACACAGCCAGACACAGACGAACGCACGCAGAGACATATGCAGACAGACAGACAAACACGCACATGCACACACACACACACACACACACACACGCTCGCGCATGCACATATCTGAACAGACTGATCACCTACAGCGTTCACTAGCTGAAGATGCAAGTTTAGGCGTTGCACCGGTCTTGTGACGATTGCGCTCCCAGGCATTGGTCTTGTGGCTTGGAGTTGGGAGGGGAGTACCGAAGCTGCAGTGAACACACAAGCAAGTTTAGACAGACCATATGTTGAGTATGCAAAGAAAGATTAGAATCATACAAAAATATGTGCATACAATGCGCCCAAATGCTTGCGCACCAAACACAGGCTCGCTCGCACGTACGCATGCACGCACATACACATACACATACACATACAGTTACACACACACACACACACACACATACACACGTGCATGCATATACACACACACACACACACACACACATACACACGTGCATGCATACACACGCATACACACATACATGTACAATGAAGCTCAATGAAATTCGATCGCGTGAATCAAGTCTGTGCCCTGTACTAGTTCACATATCCCAGTGTTCACCGGTCTGGGGCTACACAGCGCCTGGCGGCCATTGACTCTCTTGATCGGATTTCATTGAGCAGCACTGTACATACAAGTGCACACATGACAAAGGAGCTAGAGCAATGGTCACACACACTGCGCACTCCACACATGACAAAGGAGCTAGAGTAATGGCCACACACTGCGCACTCCGTACATGACAAAGGAGCTAGAGTAATGGTCACACACACTGCGCACTCCACACATGACAAAGGAGCTAGAGTAATGGCCACACACACCGCACTCCACACATGACAAAGGAGCTAGAGTAATGGCCACACACACTGCACACTCCACACATGACAAAGGAGCTAGAGTAATGGCCACACACTGCACACTCCACACATGACAAAGGAGCTACAGTAATGGTCACACTGCAGTGCACACAGACACAGGAAACCTACTCTGCTCCGGAATCACGCGCCGAACGTGGCGTGCCACCGGGTGTGTCCCATGCATTCCTGGACGGTGTGCCACCATCGTCGATGTCCCAGGATGAGCGAGACGGAGTCCTTTCATCTGCATCAACACAAGAAACACAAGAGGAAACTGTCTGAACGACTATTCCATTTCCGCTTCATGAAAGACTCTATGCCGCTACACCCAGCCTGGTGACTTCCATTTGAGAGATATGAGTAGGAAGCAAGACGTGACTTGGTCATAATGTAAATACAATGACCACTCGGAAAAAGGCTGCTGTGCTGGGCTAAGAAAGCTGAAAGCATAATACGTCTGCGTGCATGACTGGGGTCTATTTTGTAGAATTCATCTTCGACGGGCCGAGTCGAATGGCCTTGGTTAGGACGTAATAAAACTCAAGAAAAGAACAAGGTTATGGCTCCTCACAAGCAACATCCTCAAAGCTCTTCTACTAGTACTTCCACTGCCTTCTCATCAGGTGGAATACGGGCAAAAATAAACTGACCCAGCACAATGAATTATAAACAGTAGTGATGTGAAAACTTATAATTATCTGTGTATACGGAGTCATTATCTGTGTATACGGAGTCATTATCTGTGTATACGGAGTCATTATCTGTGTATACGGAGTCATTATCTGTGTATACGGAGTCAGACGGTTTTGGCATGCAGCACTGTTACAAGCTCGACCGTTTTACATTAAAAATTGTATGCGGCGGGCTGGCTGGATTCAGCGGTGCCATCAGTAGGAAGGGAAGCTGTATGGCGCATGTTCAATTGGGGAAACCTAACGAACAATACTTTGCAGCCCCCTCGGACAAAGATCATTCGACTCCACTTGTTGAACTCTATGAAACAGTCCCCAGTCCTACATTTACCAAACTTAACAATTATTCTAGAGCCGGTATGAAAGAGAGCGGTTCAAATATGGCGTGCTGTTAGAGAAGGATACGGTGTGTGTGTGTGTGTGTGTGTGTGTGTGTGTGTGTGTGTGTGTGTGTGTGTGGTGTGTGTGCGTGTGTGTACATGTGTGTGTGTGTGTGTGTGTGTGTGTGTGTGTGTGTGTGTGTGTGTGTGTGTGTGTGTGTGTGTGTGTGTGTGTGTGTGTGTGTGTGTGTGCATGTGTGTGTGTGTGTGTGTGTGTGCAAGACGTACCTTTAGATCGGTGCCTAGGTGTAGGTGTATCGTACCACTTGCCACTACGTCTCTCACTACCAGGTGTGTCTCTCATGTCACCACGACTAGAGCCCATTCCACTGTCTGCCCAACGACGTGAACTTCGGCCATGTTCGTGCCTTGACGAATACGATGCCTTAGGAGCAGGCTCGTGGCTGGATCGAGGCTCTTGTTCACGCTCCGCTCTCCTTTTCTCTGCTAATTGCTGCAGCCCAAGCACAGACCCTTTGCTGTCAGGCTTCTGAAAGACGTGAGATTCCCCACTAGAAGAAGCAGCTTGCTTTTTGCGAATGAACAATCCTCCTTTGCCAGATCCTGATCCTTCCAGACGATCTACTTTACGACCATCGAATTCAGACATGACTGCACCTCATAGTACGAAGCACTAGAATAGAAATTCACACCGTATAGTAGCTCGAACATCCAACAGCTATTACTTCTTACTTTGTGTTACAGGCATACTATTCGAGAGTCACTAGTTCAATATCACTTGGTGCAAACTGTAGTAGTATTAGTAATAACACTTGTAATTCATTGGGGAAATATACTTCAGATCAGATGTTGAAAATCAAATCTATCGAATGCTTTTTGAGTTGCACAAAATTAAATTATTTACGTTCAGTGATCGATCGCCGCCTGACGTCATGCATGATTATGATGATGACACCGCACTTCGTTGCCATGCATGCATTATTTTTACAACCAGTGCATGCACTTGCAGGGTGTCAACTGTCACACTAATAATAGTAGTGATAAACAAACCTTTTCTTGGCGTTCTTCTACTGTGCCTGTTCTTCTATGAAGTGTGCTTGTGTTTCTCTCTTGTGCTTTTTGAAAGCAGGGAGTAGCTTAGTTTACTACTCCCTGGTCGAAAGGCAATGCTGAAAGTGAAAGGTACTTGTAGCTATCCGTCAATTTATAAGGAAAGTTAGGATACTCTGAGCCAAGGACGGTTGGAGAGAGAGAGAGAGAGAGAGAGAGAGAGAGAGAGACACACACACACACACACACACACACACACACACACACACACACACCGACAGCGGTGTTTCCGATGTGGACACACTCGGCATATTCTGGCTCTTCCCCAGTAGAGCAGACCAAAACAAAAGATGCGGACCGGTAATACGTTCAACAACTGTCAAACAGACTCACTATTTCAGTATTTGTCATCCACATAGCTAGTGAAGACAATCATACAATTTAAAAAGAAAACAAGAAAAATGGAGAGAGAGCAAAAAAAAGAAGAGCAGAGAGCAGCATAGCAGCCAGATTTATATAACTGACTACAAAGGGGTGAATACTGTGGTATGGCACAAACTTCATACTGCTGAATAAAGAGTTGAACATGAGTTGGTTAAAAAATGTCATGAACTTAACCTTCACTAGTAGTGATACTATTGCATACCTTCTACAATGGCAAAAGAAAACAAGAAAAAAGGCGAAATTGAAAGAACATGAAATAGAACTCGACGCCCACAACAGAGGGCACATTAGAGGCGAGTAACCATTTCAATTATCCTAGGAGTGATATGATCGGATGTGGGAAAATACAAATACTCAAATGCAACACATTAGAACAACGGAAAAGTAAAGGACTATAGTCTGTACGAAAGATAAAATTACTGGACACAGGAGGAGGAGGAGGAGGAGAACGAAAGACAACTATAGGCAAAAGACAAGTCAATATACACGTCTTTCTAGCAAAGTCCTGCTGCCGCTGCTGCTTCTGCCGCTGCGGCTGCGCACAGGCAGGAATCAATAAAAACAATACAATAATGTTACATGTTACCCGTTACCGCTGGTTACCTGTGTGTTTTAGGAGGTAGCTGAGGTACTTTTCTGCAGTAGTCTCGAGAGGGTAGTACGGGAGGACCAGCTGCATCACCAGATGGCAAAGGCGACGAAGAGTCCTTTGGTCGAGAAGCAGGTGGTGGTACTCCGCCACCTGATTGTCCCGGGCGAGGGGGCAGGGTAGGGCCAGATGAAGTTTTCGGCGGCAGAACAGGGGCCGGCTGTTGAAGACTAGTTGGCGTCAGCGGAGGCCGTTCGTTGCGCTGCACTGGCGGCGGTTGATCTCGGTCATCGTTACTAGAGGACGCGGTGGTGAGTGTGGACAGGCGACGGATGTCACTGCTACTCGAACCGGAAATACTTGGCTTGGGAGTTGGACGTGACGGGCCTCGTGAGCTAATCCGCGGCTTATCTCTCAACCAGCTGTCCTTGATAGCAGGATTACGCGGCTGAAAGCATCACACACACACAACAGAAGCACAGCATAACAGCAGGACACAAGTCATTGGGGGTTATTCACGAGCTTATTCAAAAGCGTGTGACATCACGTCGAGGCGTAGCCTGTCAAGGGAAGCTAGGGTTCAGTAACCAGTGCCCTCTAGTGCGAGGACGACCCCACAAGCGATGGGTCAACAATGTCAAAGAAGACATCAAGCGCCTGAATGTGCCGATTCACGAATGTCTCAATCTCTTTCGGGGCAAGGCATGACGAGGGTGTGCGAGTGTGCATAAAAATGGTATGCACATCTATTCCAGGTGTCAGGCACACAGAAGATAACTACTGGCAGGCTTAACAAACAACAGAGGTTTATGGGTGTACCGGATGTGGGCATGGGAGAGAGAGAGAGAGAGAGAGAGAGAGAGAGAGAGAGAGAGAGAGAGAGAGAGAGAAGAGAAGAGAAGAGAAGAGAAGAGAAGAGAAAGAGGAGAGAAAGAGGAGAGAAAGAGGAGAGAAAGAGGAGAGAAAGAGGAGAGAAAGAGGAGAGAAAGAGGAGAGAAATAGAAAGAGAGAGAAAGAGAAAGAGAGAGAAAGAGAAGAGGAGAAAGAAGAGAGACACGCACACAGCATAAGCTTACAAATTTTGCTGGTGGCTGCTGCCTTGGCTCAATTTCAAGTGACGCCTTGTGTAGCTTCGTCGCAAGAATGTGTGAATCACCGTCAACACATTTCAGTGGATCTTGTGACAGCAGGAAGGCCTACAAGTGCACATGCACACACAGAGGGTATATACACATGATGACATGAACACGCATATACAAATACACACGACCAGTCCTAGACTAAAGGAACAGAATGCCTACCCAAGTGAAATATCTTTTGAACGGTACTGAACAAATCAGTGCAATACAGCCAATAAGCATAGCTACACCGCGGACACAGGGTCCAGGGTGTTAGGGATGGAATTGTACACACATTCACTGTTACATTTCGGTACATTTCGGAGTAACGTCAGTCAGGTGGACAAGTTGGTTAGAGTATCGGCCTTCCAAACATGAAGTAGTGGTTCGATCCCCAATTTGTACGACGAAAAAATTCCACTCATCTGGGATTGAGCACCTAGCAACAAGAGTACAAGTCAAGTTAATCACTAATCACTATTTCTTCCTACTTTCATCGTTTTATTGCAGATAGTCTCCACCATTTTACACTGCAAGTACATATATACAAATATGTACATTCAGCTTGTCTGATTGACTGCGGAACTAAAATTGTTGTCTCCTCGCCGTTTATACTAAATAAGTACAATCATGTACAATCATGTATGCTGTTGTCATACCATACCTGAATAACAGGCTCGATGATGAGGTTGTACGGTTGATTCTGGTACTGTTGGATTTCACCTGTTACTTCCGCCACTTTCCGCCTAACAGAACACAAGCAGAACAAGCAAAGATGAGCACAAAACAAGTTAAAATACAAAAGCACTCGGGACATAAACACACACGAGCACACGAACGCTCGCACACACACACACAGATGCACCCCCACACACACATACTTCAGGGGCGTCGGAAGGTAATTTTAGGGTGGTTTTGCTAGGTCAGGTGAGGTACAATTTACTGGGGGGGGGGGGGGGGGGGGGGGGGCGCTCCGTTAATTTTTTGTTCGAAATTTAGCGCTCAAATCAATGCATCCTATTAATTTGCGGGCATCTGAAGGTAAAGAGGGATACAGTCAATATTGTAGTGAATGTACGCTCGTAGCATGCCCAATGCCCCTGCACATGCTCATTGCCAGGAACTGATCACAAGGGTCTCCTTGGGAGAGGTGAGAGATATTTAAAAGGAATCTTGGAGAAATGACTCAATTGGCCATTGAACCGCCCCAAAGTCAACACCCCCAAACACTCTGGGTGGACTTGGAGAAATAATCCCAATTGTGGGCTCACCATACAACTGGAAGTGGGTCAGGGCAAGGCGCACAAAAAGGATTGGCGGCATCAGTGCACACATCCCAAGATCCAATAGCACACACCCCAGTGGGATACAAACGCACGCGCGTGTGCATGCATGTACACTTGTACTTCACAATTTTTTTTAAATGCTTCTATTCAGACACACAGCACATTGCTGAGGAGCTCAACAGGCTACATACTACATAGCCTAGTGAAGCATGGGGACTTACCGTTTACTGAAGTTGATACACTCCGAGTTGGGAATCATATCTTTCAGACCTTGCTCAATGAACAGAATTTGAGTCAAATAGTCACCTATAGACAGCCAGTGTCAAAAACCAAATACACAAGCTAGGTAAATCACCTGTTCGTGAAGTCAAATTGCTTCAGCGCAATTTCGTACCTGCAGCCATTTTGAAAGTTTGATGTAAGCCAAGAACGTATAACCCTCGGTGAGCTCTTCATGCCAAACACTAAGAACAAGTCAAGTTCAGAATGCTGCACAAATTATCATTATTGTACATGTGTATGACAATGTATGCACACACCGACACCCCTACACGCACAACACGAATATAAACGCAGTCTGAAGATAAGAACAAGCCAGCCGGTGGTGGAAGGAAGAGGTTACGTTCTTGCCGTGCTGCACACAAGCCAGTGCCGTCTGCAGTGGCCAGTAGAAGGAGGCCGCGGCAACAGACGGCCAGCGTAGCGCTACACCAGCAACAGACAGCCAGCGTACCACCACCGCAGCAACAGACAGCCAGGGTAGCACCACACCAGCAACATACAGCCAGTGTAGCACCACACCAGCAACAGACAGCCAGTGTAGTGCTACACCAGCAACACACAGCCAGGGTAGCAACACACAGCCAGGGTAGCACCACACCAGCAACAGACAGCCAGGGTAGCAGCAGCACAGCAACACACAGCCAGGGTAGCAGCAGCACACCAGCAACAGACAGCCAGTGTACCACCACACCAGCAACACACAGCCAGGGTAGCAGCAGCACAGCAACACACAGCCAGGGCAGCAGCAGCACACCAGTTACTTGAGTAGTAAAGAAACATTTCACCCCACTTACCCATAAATGGCACACACGGCGGGTTGATGGCCTTGAGCTTTTCCTTGTACTTTTTCATGTGATTAGCAGCAAGCTCATTGGCGCTGGCCTTGGCCTGCTCTAGCCGACGGGGAAGCTCCTACACCACAAGACAAAGAGAGAGAGAAACCCATGACCAATTAGATTGGTTCGAATATTCGCAATATTCACATATTCGAAATATGCAGGGCAGAAAGGATATTCTTCGCTAAAGTAGGGATTCGGGTGAATGTGGTCATCCAAAAAGTCGCCTTTTATATCGATTAGGCTCGTGCTGTGCAGAATATGAGTAGGAGTGCCTTCTTGTATGCGCTGTCATCTGCAAGCCAGATGACACTATTGTCCTTTTCACATGTCTCCCTTGAAGTACATGCCAGTTGATGGTCTATGGTTACCACGGATACAGCTATGTATCCATGGATAGAGTATGGCTGAGAATAATCGGAATATTCTTCGTTTCACATGTCGATGCATTCGAAAAAGAATATTTTGCCCGCACCATTGAGCATTTGTTTGAGCTCGAACAGTTAGGTGGATATAGTTAGTTCACACCATAACAGGCATAAGATAGAACATGGCGACCAAATGTACTCACCATAGGCATCACATACGGTTATATTTTCCCAGGAGCAAAGCAGATGGACACTATAAACTATCAACTCACCATGAATGTGTGATCCAGTCGATGCACTGCAGAACTATTCAGGGCTGAAAGGATCTCAATCATGCCGTTGAAATTGTTCAGTTCCATCAGTGTCTAAGACAGCAGATAGCCACACAGAGTGTATAGAACAGTGCAGGTGAACAAGCCATAAGAACAACACAGACAGACAGACACATGCACACACACACGTACACCCCCCCCCCCACCCCCCCCCAACACACACACACCTCAGACACACACACCTCAGACACACACACCTCAGACACACACACCTCAGACACACACACCTCAGACACACACACCTCAGACACACACACCTCAGACACACACACCTCAGACACACACACCTCAGACACACACACCTCAGACACACACACCTCAGACACACACACCTCAGACACACACACCTCAGACACACACACCTCAGACACACACACCTCAGACACACACACCTCAGACACACACACCTCAGACACACACACCTCAGACACACACACCTCAGACACACACACCTCAGACACACACACCTCAGACACACACACCTCAGACACACACACCTCAGACACACACACCTCAGACACACACACACCTCAGACACACACACACCTCAGACACACACACCTCAGACACACACACCTCAGACACACACACCTCAGACACACACACCTCAGACACACACACCTCAGACACACACACCTCAGACACACACACCTCAGACACACACACCTCAGACACACACACCTCAGACACACACACCTCAGACACACACACCTCAGACACACACACCTCAGACACACACACCTCAGACACACACACCTCAGACACACACACCTCAGACACACACACCTCAGACACACACACCTCAGACACACACACCTCAGACACACACACCTCAGACACACACACCTCAGACACACACACCTCAGACACACACACCTCAGACACACACACCTCAGACACACACACACACACACACACACACACACACACACACACACACACACACACACACACACACACACACACACACACACACACACACACACACACACACACACACACACACACACACACACACACACACACACACACACACACACACACACACACACACACACACACACACACACACACACACACACACACACACACACACACACACACACACACACACACACACACACACACACACACACACACACACACACACACACACACACACACACAAATGCAAACCTCCCCTAGCATGAAGATTAAAAAAAACCCAAATCACAGGAAGTACTAGCATTGCAACAGTAACACCAGTTATTCAAAAATTTCAAAACATTGCAAGAAGCCAAAGGAACTTACGGCCATAATGTCAATGAAACGTTGCGCAGCCACGCGCCGCTCTTCCAAGTTTTCCGACTCCACAATTGTACAATTCACCCAGGATGTGATCTGCAAACGAACGAAAGCAAACCAAAATGTAATACTAGTATACAAGTATGCACGCAGACAATATCACCTACTGACATTGCAGTACTTCTAGGAAGAAGAAAACAAACAGGGACACATTACCACCGTTGACAACCAAAAATTATGAACAACACTACGAGAAGAATCGGCCAACAGTAAATATTCAGATCCCCACAGAAGAATCTAAACACAACTACTGTAGGCCTGCAGTCACTACAATCGTAGATGTAGACGTCAGTACCGTACAACAGGTATGAAGCATACCGTAAGCCATGTAAATTGATGTGTAGTATAATTTTGGTGTCAGGGACCTGCCGGGTTTCAGGTATAATGTAGAACTAGGTGACCGGCGTTCCCTGCACATACAGTGCATACTCCAGCGCCATTTAGGTGCCTGTATTTAAGTTACACCGAAAATAACGTGTTATACAGTACCCGGGACACACATGCCCCGCAGCTACATGTACTAGGCACGTGTGCTGGGTTCAGCTTCCTACGTCTTCGACTGATCGCCACCCTGGACTAATCTCACCAATATCAGACACCATGCATGCGTGCACATAACCCCGGTCAGGTTGGCGTGGGCGCTATCCTTACATTTGTGGAGTGACGGATGAAGCGCAGCACGTTTGGCGACAACGTCTCCTTGTCTTCACTCGTCCATTTGCTTCCGACGAGTTCAGAAGGCCGAACAGCACTGCAACGACACAACGGAAATGTCCCGAACTACATCACTCTACAGCTCAACGTTAGGTAAAGCAAGATTCAGCCATACTACAAGTATGTGATCGTACTGATCAAGCAATGCAGGCAGTGACTAGGCCTACGACTTACCGATACATCTCGGACTCGATGAGAGTCAACTGCCTAGCAATTTCAATAGGATGAGTCTGTGAGCAATGAGAAGAAGAAAAGCCATCACACAATCAATGTGGGTTCCACAGAATGCTAGTAGGGTGTGGCAGAATCAAGTTGGAATATACACTCAGACGTCTCTTATCCGGGCACTGCCCGTATCTCAGATTTGCTCGTATCTCAGGATAACTCGTCTACCATGTATCATTATCATTTTTGAAGAAGTTTTTTTGGTGCATATTGCACATGTTCACGTTACAAAAATAATCCATGGACAAAAATGTATGGATTACACAGGTTGGCAGTGACAAATAAGTACTTGTGCATTCGGAAAAAAGTTCAATCCCCCAAATTCGAAGCATTTTGCCATAGGAACTCAAGCTGAGGGTGGCCGGTAGAGAGACGTGCCCGTATCTGAGGCGTCCAGATAAGAGGCGTTTGAGTGTACAGGCAACATTTGTATTTGTTTGTATTCGTATTTATGGATTCTCCACAGGCAACATAATTGCACTAAAACTGAAGAAAGAAAACTATCCGGTTGACCAGGATAATAATTATTTCCCGCCAAATCAGTGATTTGTCACACACCACAAAGCATACCGGTATCTGAAATCACACAGCAGATGCAGCCAACACCTGAAAGATATTTCCAGTCACACTACATCCCATCAAACCACGGCGGTACAAGCAAAAGCACGTGTAGAATACTCGTCAGTAGAACACATTCTTTCACTTAGCCAGCAGCCAGTTCAACGCTATATGCTTGCTTCACACTGACTTACTGTGTAGATGTTCAGATCACCAGGTTCCCGAGCTATGTGATACTCGAGAGGGGCAGGATCTACATCAAACACATGCGGTTGCTGCACGGACATCTGTGTGGACGGAGAATGAAAGGGAGACAAAGAGAGGAATGAAGATAGGCAAACAGTCAGACAGGAAGAATCAAGAGTCCAAACGAAAGGCAACAGAGAAGACTGGTTGTGCAAGACATGGGAGGAAAGGCTGTCCACTCAAGCAAGGTGTATGTTTGACTGGTGCTTTTCTTCGTGTTGTTCAATTATCAGAAAGCCAGATGAAAACACTGGGCTATGACGTGATTCTTGCACAAACCAATGTGAGGGCCAGGGTTCTGCAAGCAAACTATTCTTCAAGGCACAGAGACTGGGCAAGCACTTCCAAATGTAGCCCCGCATATACAGCCAGAATCCCCTAAGGCTCGTATCACTTACGCCTCCTCTTTCCAGAAGTCGCTCGACCGACTCGGACCACTTGCGCATCCGCTGCTTGCCATGAAGCTCCTTGAGAAACTCACGAAGAGTTGCTGACATGTCAGCGTCGAAATCATACAAGTGGTGTTCCACCCAGTGGCGCAGTACATTCATGATTCTGTCAATCAAGAGCACAGGAACCAGCAAAGAACGGCATAACGTTACAATGTCAGAATGAACAACGACGACAAATAAAGCGACGACGACAACAACATCAACACCACCACCACCAACAACAACATCTCTTATTGGCGGCCACTGGCAATCGCGAGAATAAAGATTTCAAAATTTAAAAACAACAGCAACAAAGATAACAATGGCAACAACGACAATTGTCAAAAGCAAGACTTGACAGATATCTAAAAATGCACATATAGTGGCATACATACTGTAAAGCGACAAACTTTCGCGGCGCGCAAATTTAGCGTTTTTATAAATTGGGCTGGTTTACGATGCGAAACTTTTGCGATTCAATCTCTTCAGTCGGATCTTGTACTGTCCACAATTAATGTACGGAGGGGTTTGCGGCGTTTTATATTCGCGAATGTGTGATGGTCGCGAAAATAGCGAAATTTAATCTCCAGCGAAAGTTTCTCACTTTACAGTACATGTACATGCCACGCAGAGCATCACTGAGTTCCTCAACAGCCAAACAAAATGTTGGTGCCTAAAGCCAACCAGGCACAATGAGAACCGTTGCCAGATCTAGCTTGTTGTTGCCGAACACACCGTCCAGGCGGGTTCAATGAGGCTGAATCCATTTTTGATCTGCCAGAAATAAATTTTAAGAACGAGGCCCCCAAAGATAACGGCATGTTGCTCATTGAATTACAATGTAACTAGTATTGCATATTATAATCAAATGTACACGCAGTCCTTACCGGAGCTGGACGGGCTGCACGTATTCCGTGCGGAAGCGCTTCATCCATGGCCGAGACTTACCACCGGCCATGAAGACTTCTTCCTCCTCCTTGGTGGTCGGTGGGTCAGGTATCCGGAACGTGCACACACACACAGAGTCAAGGAAACTAGCAAGAGGACCAATGAAGCGGCAAAGCAATGCAGCAAGCCGCCTTGGCAAAGCAGACCAGGCAGCGGGTCCTAACTCAGTGAGTGACTGTCAATTTACAACAACACTGGCTATGTACCAGTACTTCTACATCATGGGAGTATACGGTGGTCCGGCACAGGACAGCGACCATACCACAGCACCAACCTTTGTTCAATGGAACATGCATGAGAGGAAAGGATTGCCTGGTCACACATTGTTATAACTTACAAGACACATTCGTTCGCACGGTGTATGAGAAATGCTATGATGGGCTAGGAGAGTGGAGTGGGACTACAAGGCATTCCCATAACTGTATACACTGTACTTGAAGTACTAGTAACACCTCCACCTGGTGGAGGACTTGTTTAGACAATCCACTTCAAGTCTTCAACACAACTATCCAGGACTAATTTATGGAAAGTCAGGCAAAACACACCGCAGCAGCTCTAAAGACAAGAAAAAAAAACAAGAAGGATATCTTTCAACCAGCAGGCTCAGGAACTTGGGTGGGTCACAGAACGACCGGTACGTTGTCAGGAAGATTCGCACAAAGCCGGGATCTGAAGGGCAGATGGATAAAGTAAAACAAGAGTTTACAAAACACACACACACACCAGTACTGAGAGCCAGTGTGGTGGGTGAGATGCAGATATCTCACAATGTGAGCACATGATACCATCTCTATCCGCAGTGGTTACACAGTAACTTAGCCCCCCCCCCCCCCACACACACACACACCTCCCGACAAAGAAGACACACTAAAAGACAGCAGGGGTACCAAGCTTACCAGCAAATCTGTGATAGGTCAAGCGCTCAACTAGTTTATGTAACGTTCCTCCCTTGACAAGCGGAACACCAGTGCTACTGGTAGCTCCCTCCTCAAACATAATATTCACACCTTCTACGTCCTCTTCAGCAAACCTGTGGACAATGACAATGATAGCAATGGTGACAACAGCACACAAATAGCCGCAGCAGTGAATGTCACAACGAAGCTAGGCAGACCGAAAAAATCAAATGCAACATGAAGCATGCAGCAGTCAAACAGTACAAGCACACATTATCACAAATATTCACCAAATACAGTGAGACAAAAACAACATGGAATTGATATTGATAGCAAAGTAAATACATTCAAAGCTTCAACACAGGTCCAACAATGTATGCACACCATGGTGTGTGGCCAGTACAAAGGAGGTGGTCTTTCAACACAGGTCAAGCAATGAATGCACACCATGGTGAGTAGCCTGTATAAAGGAGGTGGTCTTTCAACACAGGTCAAACAATGTATGCACACCATGGTGAGTAGCCTGTATAAAGGAGGTGGTCTTTCAACACAGGTCAAGCAATGTATGCACAGTGCACACCATGGTGAGTAGCCTGTATAAAGGAGGTGGTCTTTCAACACAGGTCAAACAATGTATGCACACCATGGTGAGTAGCCTGTATAAAGGAGGTGGTCTTTCAACACAGGTCAAGCAATGTATGCACAGTGCACACCATGGTGAGTAGCCTGTATAAAGGAGGTGGTCTTTCAACACAGGGCAAGCAATGTATGCAGCAAAAAGGCGCAGGTGTGAAATCACCAGTTTGATAGCATAGCTGGTCTCTTATCACACAGCGTTTTCTAAAAACTGGGTTTCACTGTACTGCCCAGCAGCACAGGGGAGAAGCGCGCTGCAGACTTACTTGTACACGACTGGGTCGGGCAGGCGAAGTGGAATACGCCGCTGCTCATCACGTATCGCAGAGTCCAGTAGCCGATCAAATGTCCTGCAGCAGATTTTTTTTAAAGAAAAAAATGTGAACATCAACACGTCAACACATTATCACTGCCATCTGCTTTCTATGTAACGTTAATCACTTGGACTAGTTGGAGTAGATGGAGCCCGGTTCCAAACCCATGCTACACAGCGGTTCATTTCCATGTACATTCTTCGTATGCATGACACTGCACAAATAAACCTTCTTCTTTTGTTAGGTTTCACTGTGCATGTGCGATTCGAGAACAACGACATTGAACACGAAGGAATCGTACAGGTAACTACTACAACACAGCACCTACCCTTTCGTTGTCAAGCCCGTCAGCAGGGCCATCCATTCTCTCTTGTCATTTTCAGTCTTGGCCACCAGGATGAGCCGCTTCTGGTTTTCGACGACTTCAAATGCATTTCGATACTCTAGCAAGGGAAACACACAGGATTCGGAAAAAGACGGCAAGCGCTGTGATTATCACAAAGTCCATGGCATGAGAAGAGCAACACGCCGTGTGGTCAGCATGCAGGGTACAGGGTAGGACCATACATACAACTATATACTGGCAAGCGAAATACAGTTGCGACCCAAAGTGCAAAGCTGGCACCCTCAACTTCCACGGCCCTTGACGCCCTGGGAGTGGAACGAATGCGGCTGGACGTACACATGTACAAATACAATGATGTAATCGGAACTGGTCCAGGGCGCAAGCTTTGCACTTTGGGTTGGATTTCAGTGAGCGCAACTGTACATCTCCACATCAGGGTTATTTCACATGGGCTGAATTCCGGCACTGACGATGACCAAGGAAGAGGAAGTTGATCTTTCATCCTCTCTCTCAGCAGACACAACCAGTTTCTTTCCCTCTTGGGTGGCCCAGTGTCTGCTACATAGTAGAGACGCATACAAAGCCATCTGGGAGTGTTTGCATGAAGAGTATCACCCAATGCCATCAAAACGGTGGTCTACTTCAAGTCCGATCATACTCTCTCTCTCTCTCTCTCTCTCTCTCTCTCTCTCTCTCTCTCTCTCTCTCTCTCTCTCTCTCTCTCTCTCTCTCTCTCTCTAAGTGAGACTTCCCAAAAGCACTTGGGTGCCCTTGACGGGAAGCATGTTACCATGGAATGTCACAGGTTCGGTGGCAGCACCTTTTACAAGTACAAGAGCTAGCACAGCATTGTACTCATGAATCCGTTTGATGCAGACTACACTTCTACAACGGTTGACATTGGTGGGTATGGAAAGGACAATGAAACAACAATTTTCTCCGCTTCCACGATGAACTCAGCGTTGGAAAGCAACGCCATTGGTATTCCGCCAGCCACAGACATTGTCAGTCATGGTACAGTCAAATCTGTCGTAAGCGACCGCCCCTTGGTGCAAGAAAAAGCGGTCGCTTACGGCAGATGGTCTCTTACGGCAGATGTATGGTAAATCCGGCATACCAGGTATATACTTCCATGTACTCAAATCAACGAGAATAATGTGATTTTAATATCATTTTATTGGATATTCAACGACGACCATACCCGTATAGTACGCGTATGCGACACGGCAGTAGATCGACACTGCCTGGACTTGAGAGCTACAGCACAGCCTCAGTACAGGCCATGCGCCAGTCGATCGCACTTGCAAGACAGCGCATTTTCACACTTTGCAGTTGACAGTGCACTGGCAAGTACAGTTTCGCACCTTTCTGAACCTGGGTCGCGGTCGTTCACAGCAGATTTGAATGCAGCCACCGTGCATGAAATCGCGGTCGCTGGTCGCGCACTGCAGATGGTCGCCCTGGACAGATCAGTTTGTATGTGAAACCGTTGGTGCACGGAAAATCGGTCGCTAACGGTAGATGGTCGCCTACAGCAGAGGTCGCTAACGGCAGATTTGACTGTATGAACAATGATGTGTCAATATCTCCGCTTTCCAGATGGACACTTAGAAAACAACACCGCTGGCATTCCGCCTGCCAAGGGCATTGAGGGAAGCAGTGTGCAACGGCGATGTGCAAACTAATCCTCGCCTACACTACAGTGGTACCAAGTGAAACACAACAGCATGAATAAAGCAGAACCACATCCACTCGCATTGTCTGCAGTGCTAAGGGTGTGTAGCCCCAAGACTATTACATTCACGAGGTCGGGTTCTATTTGCCACAACTGCAGCGTGCGTGCTCTCTACAGCGCACAAAACATTGGTGTACCTTCACAGTCTTCGAGGTCGTTCAATTCCATTCTTCTCACGTTGAACTTCTCCTTCAGCCGAAACTCAATCTTTCGGCCGGCATTCTGCAGGAACGGACGACACACAACGCACAATGAGATTTGCGCCTTGATTCAAGACTTCACAAAGTACAACTATGAGAAGCAACACACCAAGCAAGAGGAGCTAGACATGGAATCACAGCGGGGCACACCGTATGGAAACTCACCGCCTTGCAAAAGATGAGAAGCGAGTCCAAGACGAAAATGTGACGCTCGGTGGATGTCTGCAGAGCCAGAGAGAAATAGTCCATAGAGATGTGAAGCAACAACAAAACCTCGCACAAAGACCTGCCAAGTCAAATTCTACCTCCACTGCATATCACCAATGTAAATCAAAACTAGATACATATACACAGCTGATCATTTCCATATGTACAGCACCAGAATCATTCAGACCAGCATGCAAAAATGATTAGCAGACCAGGACTTACTTTGCCAAAACCTTTGCCACGATGTACGTTGAGATCTCCCTCTACACACACCAACAAAGAACAACAGAAAAGAAGAAGAAGAAGAAGAGCAGCACTAGTTAAAATTTCACAAGTTATCAGAGTCAATCACCTGGTAGTGATGCCAGTAACAGCACAGTGATTCGGATGCACAATTGTGCACAGCATATCCATAAGGTTGGGTTACAGGCTCAAAAATCACCTGAACTTACCATGCAGTATTTCTGAGCACATGGCAGCAATATCGGTATCCTACACAACAGAAAGAGACAAAGGAAGTTAAAGAACAGATATGCCACATTACATATTATCAAGAGTAGATAACCAAGAGTGTGCAACTCGCGGATGGGTTGGCCCACGGCGGAATTTTTTGTTGACGTACTCTTTTCGACGACGCACGCGCTATGAGTCTTTTGGAAAGTTTTCCCTCGTGCACTTGGCCGCACTTGCACTACAAAGTCGGGGTGCCCAGCACGTGCTCTCACACTGCTCTGCAGCAAAATGCGCGTTCTTCTGAAAAAAGGTGACGTCAACAAAAAATTCCGCCGTGGGCGGGGGTATCTGCAGATTGTGCAGGAGAGATCTGGAGTTGCACACCCTTGTTTATCTACTCTTGATATTATGCAGGTAGGTCACAGTACAACAACAACAACAACAACAACAACAACAACAACAACAACAACAACAACAACAACAACAACAACAACAACAACAACAACAACAACAACAACAACAACAACAACAACAACAACAACAACACTGCCAAAAGGTCAGGACAGCTGAAATGAAAGCAGAAGAGATGAGGTGAATGGTTCTTATCTTACATCCCAAGGCTCAATGGACCGCTGAAGTTCATTCAACTGTTCTATGCTGGCGCGTGGCCCTCGCCGCCGATAACCAATCACTTGCTCATGGCTGAACAAAACAACAGTGTCACGCCAGGAAAAAAGAACAACCACATCATCAGAACATGGAATTCGTCCCAGAACTGTAGCAGATACACACAGACACACACGAGCAACCACAGACAGACACTGAACAGACGAGACGGATCACAAATGAAGTTGATAAACTACAGTACACAAGTGCATGCACATGCAACACGCTACACCAGCAATTACCCAGGTTTCGGTAAAATGTCGCGGCACAGCTTGTCCATGTTGCTCTTCAGCGCTATGAGAGCTGTATGAGCCTGGAGCAAGATGAACAGAATGAAAGCATCCACCAACATCGATGGTGAAACCAGAGGCAACAACAACCAACAACAGGAGCTAACATTCATGCCTGCAGAGTTCAAGTAGTTTGGTATGTGACGGCCAGTCACACCCATGCCCACACCAACACACACACCAACACACACTAACACACACGCGCGCGCGCGCGCGCACACACACACACACACACACACGCGCACACACACACGCACACACACACACACACACACACACACACACACACACACACACACACACACACACACATACACACATACATATATACACACACACACACACACACACACACGCATGCACGTGCACCAACCCAAACCCAAACCCAAAGTGTGCCAAGACACCACTGTAAGCAGAGCACAGAGGGGAGGACAATAGCACTCACCTCACTGAAACAGGTGCGGTCGCCGACATCTGGCGATGTCTTGAAAAAGTACTGCAATGAACACACACAAACACACACCCATACATCAGACAACAATCAATTTACCTGGAATACAAATTACGTCGATAATAGACGATTGGTACGTTCGGGCCTGGTTTAAATCTGGCTTTGGAAAATTTATTTTTCATGGCTATCAGGTTCGGCCTCATTTCCTCTGTGCTGCGCTGATGAGTCCACAAAGGACGAAACAGTTCTGTCCGCAGATTGAGTGTGGATAATAGAGGATAGATATGTTACCAATAATTGGGAATGCATCACCTTCGCAGAGCACACGCCATAGTTTGCCTTGAAGGCAAAGTACACGTATCAGATCATTTCTAATGGCAGATTTCAGCAGGGGTAATGCGAGCTTCATGAGAAATCGGCTGAATACTACCAATCTGGAAGTCGAGTACCCGCTTTAACGAGATCTGATAGATTTAGCAAGTCCCGCGAAGCCTGGGTCCAGTGACCATTAGTGTGTGTGTGTGCGCGCGCGCGTGAGGGAGAGAGAGAGGGAGAGAGAGAGAGAGAGAGAGAGAGAGAGAGAGAGAGAGAGAGAGAGAGATAGAGATAGAGAGAAGAGAGAGAGAGAGAGAGAGAGAGAGAGAGAGAGAGAGAGAGAGAGAGAGAGAGAGAGAGAGAGAGAGAGAGAGAGAGAGAGAGAGAGAGAGAGAGAGAGAGAGAGAGAGAGAGAGAGAGAGAGAGAGGGAGGATTGGTTTCTTTGCATAGAAGACATGACCACATTTTGTAGATGACCGGTGAGCTGCAGTTTCCTATATGTTCCGTAACACTGCACAAACACTGTAGAGATCCTCATGGACGGGAACACGGCCAGTAAAGCGAGGGACCACGAGCACATAACTCTGTTGTTATACGACTTGAAGCAACGACAATGAACCAAAGTACAGTTGCGCTCACTGAAATCCGACACGAAGTGCAAAACTGACGCCCTGGACCAGTTCCGATTACATCCGCATTCGTACCACGTCCAGGGTGTCAAGGGTGCCAAACATGCAATTTGGTTCAGATTTCACCGAGCACAACTGTCCAATCATGTACATCAAAGAAGTAAAAAGATTAAGTTTCGGATTCTGTGCTCTACTTTGGGGGGCATGCGTGTGCTTTCCCAGTCGCAATCTCGGGTAGAGAACCTCAGCTACGAAGTACAGCTATGTAATAGTCGGTGGTGGTACACCACGCTGAAATTTCACCATGTAATGCAATAGTGACAGGTGTCATGTGACATCACAATGCAGGACACCACTCAAACCAGTTCTCAGCAGAACCTACCTGTGTCAAATCAAAATACTGGAAGCAGTGCAGAATGGGCTCAAGAAGAAGCTTGGGCAGCACATAGTACACTGCCTCCTTGAAATTAGTGCAAACCGTGTTGGCAGAGTTCTAGCAACAAAAACAGAAAGTCAGGACGCAAGTGAACGCACACACATGAACACACACACACATACACACACACACACACACATACAAACACACACACACGCACATACACACACACACACACACACACACACACACACACACACACACACACACACACACACACACACAAGAACACAAGGTAACCCAAGTTAAACCAGCTAAGTTCGACACCTGACACTGCTCGCATCTACAGGACAGCAAACGACTACTTGAATGAGCAATTCCATCTATAACCCAATGCATAATACGTACACAGACACAAGTCATAC